ACGAGAAATCGAGGAAATCTTCGATTTTGGCGAGCACGAAGGGGGAACAAACTCTGATGTCGAAATTTTTGGCAACGAAGAAGAAGAAGAACAAGATGATGAAGAAGATAGTGACGACGAAGATATGCCTTCCGTTGGGGTTCAATGGTCAAACACATCGAGTGAAATTGAAATCGAAGAGTTTACCATTCCTCATGGCCCAACGAAAGATCTCGGCGAGGGTGCAACACCGAAAGATTTCTTTAATCTTTTCATCGACGATGGTTACCTAGATGAAGTTGTTCGATGCACTGTGGCCTACGCTCGTTCGAAAGGAGACGCAACATTTGTCACGACTCGGGCTGAAATTTCTGCCTATCTCGGGCTCAACATTTTAATGGAGATTCATCGCCTTCCTCACATGGATATGTTTTGGGACTCTGACAAATTTATCGGCGTAGAAGGGTTTAAAAAAACAATCCCCAAGCAAAGGTTTAAAACTCTTGGCAAGTTTCTTCATTTGATCGACCCAAGAGAAGAAGATCCAACCGACGTTCTCTGCAAAGTTCGCTCTCTGGTCGCTCTTCTGGAACGCAGATTCATGGAAGCATTCATTCCGGGGAAAAATTTAAGCATTGACGAAGGTCTGGTCAAGTTCAATGGGAGGCTTTCATTCAAGCAATATATGCCTATGAAGCCGGATAAATTCGGAATTAAAGTTTGGATGCTCGCTGACGCCAACAACTTCTACGTGCCGCGTTTCCAAATTTAGCTCGGAAAAAATCGCACCAACAGTGAACTGTTTCAACGAAAGGGTTTGGGGTACTATGTCGTTTGGACACTCGGTGAACCATATTTAGACAATCACCGACATTTTTATTTCGATAATTTTTTTACCTCGGCTGATTTGATGCAAGATTTGGAGTCGAGGGGTACGTACGCTTGTGGCACTGTACGCACAAATAGGAGAGACTATCGTGCCGACCTAAAGCGAGCCAAGTTAGTTCGTGGGGAGATCAGAACCCGTCAGTGCGGAAATTTGGTGGCCACAATGTGGAGAGACAAACGTGTTGTATCTCTTCTGTCGACGAACACTCCTCCGGAACCTGAAATCCACGCTGTTCAGCAGGTTGTGCGAGGAAGAAGAAAGCGAGTTGTGCCCGCAGACTCGATGAAGAAGCCAGATGTGGTTACCGTGTACAATGCAGGTATGAATGGGGTCGATGTAAACGATCAATACCGCAGCTACTATCCTCCAGGGTCAGTTTCTCGAAAGTGGTGGAAGTATTTGCTTTGGTTTTTCTTTAATTTGTCCATCGTTAATGGGTACATTTTGGAAAAAGTAGCTGGCAAGAAGGTGCGAAGTCAACTGGCATTCCGGCGTGAACTGGCGAGGCTCCTCATAGCTGGTTACAATGGATACAAAGGGCCCTCAACATCAGGTAAGCGGGCTATCCAAACTCTCTCAAGTGAAGAAAACGTGAACGGACACTTTCTCGGAAAGTTGCAAGGCAGAAAGAAAGCGTGCGCCATGTGCTCAAAAGATGGGAGAAAACGAACTGATGGACGCACCTTCGAAACATGTTATGCTTGTGAGCAATGCGGTGTTCCCTTGTGTCGACAAATGCGTGGTGAACTCTCCTGCTTTTCTAAATGGCATGGAGGAAATTAACTCTCAAAAACACTCAACCTTTGCTCTTAAATTGTATTGTAGTTTTCTTTTTTTTTTCGTTCTTTAGAGCGCTGTATTAGGCTGTAAAGCCCAATTTCATTTCACCTTGCCTTGGCGAGTCACGAACTGGTCAAAGATAAAAACAACTTTCTTTGTTAGTATAATTCATGCATTGTTCGTAATCTTCCAGTTGAAAGGGTTCTACTCAATTGATAGTTATTTCATTCTTCAATAGTTCCATATCACAATTTTCTGCCAGGTCTGTGCAGGCTTAACTTGTAACTTGTAGTTTTTTTACCTCGTGACGTTCATTGATGGCCATTTTGTTTGCATTTCTGCCGAGTTAAGAGCAGGAATTTAGACTTACTGTGGTTTTAGATACTTTCATTCATTTGGAGGTAGTAGGTAGTACAGTGATGGTCACTTTGTTTACTTGATGTCCATACTTTAATATATTTTTTTTTAAAAAGCAGAACATACATCTGCAGGATTTAAGTAGTTTAAGTAATTCTTTATTGTATTGGCAATCATGTTTTAAAGTTTCACTGCTGAAGATTAAAACTAAGACATGAAATGGTAAATTTGTTTGGACCATGTCATATTTTTTAATTCGACAGCCATTTTGTCTGGATTTTCAGGGGTGGTCTGGGCTGAGGGCTTTGGACCTTAATGGGTTAAAACAGGTTGTAAAAATTCCAAAAAGGTTGAACTATTGTGTGATCACACAATCCCTGAGAAAACAAGTGGTATACACTCCATGCAGAATAAATAATCCACAGAGCAGTTTTCAGCAACAACTCAATGCCTAGTTCACCCAAATATTGAGAATTTATGGCACTGACCAATCAGAGTTAACAAGCATTAAACATTCCCCGCTACACTCCATTACTTTCAAATAAATTTACCCAACTTCTTTGTAAGACAAAACAGTATCATCAGTCCCTCATATACCTTTCACCAAAGGCTTTTACTTGAACACTTCACAAAGACCTGTAAAACTTAACTCTACTTTCACATTCCAATTGGTACTCATAATTTAAAAGACTGGTTTTCAATACCAGATTCTAAAAAATTGGGCAAGCTTTTTTGGAATTGCTATAGGAAATTTACCCCGCTACTTCTATTTACCAGATCCAACATAAGCCAAAGCAAGCTTGGGTCTCATATTTTGCAAGTTCTCTCAACTTAATGCAATCAATTACAATTGAACTATCATATTTATTCATCAATGGCTATGAATATATGAAAATCATATATTACTCGTGTAAAGGACGACTTTTTATGACTAAAAAATCAGCTAATTTTGACTTTGACTTCAGTGCATTGAGATAAAAATCATTACATTGGAAAACGACCCAGTAAACCTCCGCCTATTTGAAGTTTTATATAATGAAAAACAAACCTACCCTTAACTCCCGAGAAAACTCTGTTTTGCTTTCAAGTAAAGAGTCCATCTCATCCACAATCCTGTAGTTCAAACACGTGTACAAAACTAATTGCATTTTCTACTTTCCTTAATTGTGTGCAATAGTGCCAACGTAACTATGTCAGTTACGTTTAATAGAAATTCAATATTTTCCTGGGATATCACGAAGTCCCTATTTCTACCCTTAATAAATCTCCCCAAGAATAAAGTGAAAGGTTGAGATGCCACCTATGCACTTAATCATGAGCCAAAGCATCCATGTACAATAACACTGATGAGCTTGTAGGGTTAGGAATGAGAATATAGTAAAAAAAAAAAAAAAAAAAAAAAAGGATAACATAGCCATCCTATCTTGAAATTGTCAAAGGAAATCTAATTCTCGTTAAAAAAAGTTAACAGAGATTGATAAGATTTTGCAAAACGTGCTTAATGCCTCACAATGTTCGATTTGCAATACAATCAAATCGTAATTTGCATTTTGAAAGAGTAGAATTAAAAGAGGAAATGAAATAATTTCGTACATTTTTCATTCATGCATGCTTGAATAATATAAGGCGATCGACGCGTAATCCATTCGAAATACCAATACAATATGTATCTGCGAAATCGCCGGTTGAGCGAGTAGATTTGAGCATTCATAGGAAGCACAAATGCTCAATTGCTGATTACGATATGTACACTTTGTAATCGGGAATCTTCAAAGTAAGGTCGAGTGATGATGAAAGATTAGGGTGAGTATTGCAACGACAATCGTCAACTCCCTTGAATACAGTTCTGAGCAGGCATCTTCTCGTCAATATTTTGCTTTAAAGGTTACTTTTCGTGGGGCAAGACGGTAACAGTTAAAAAGATAGTTGGGAAAAGATATCACTAGCTCAGACTAAAGTCTTGGAGAACAGTAAGCAAGTTTTTTTGTCGCCCAACCGAGGTATCAAGCATGAATCATCAAAAAACTTTTGGATTGGCCACGCGCAACATGTGTCTTAGGTGATATTCCAAGGGCGCGACGATTTCATCAAAAATACCAGTTTTTCACCTTTCACACGTTCAAAATCAATAATACTGTGTTGGATCAATTTTACTACCATGATATGTGAACGATACACTCAAATAAAGCTAAAAATCTTACCTCCCGGCGGATGCAGTATAGCCCTCAATTCGCTCTTTCTGCTTCGCTTGGCAGTTTGTGTGGAAGTGGCGTGGGGAGCTTGAAACTAAAATGCAGGGGCAGGGTGGTGTAACCATCACTAACTGTACCAATCTAAAGAAGGAAAGAACGTGAGGAAGTAAGGTAAACAGACGAGCAGATAAACAGACCAAGATAAAGAAAGTCGTGTTCATTCCTTTCATCTTAGTCAGCAGACTTGAGACAGTTATATTAGTGAAACTCAAATCGCTACGTTTTGCGGCTTTCGGCTTTACATGGCTTTGGAAATTTTGCGCTGAAATGCGTGACTTTCAAGGAGCTGTCCATCTCTTATTTGATGAAGAGGGCAAAGCGCATCCTCGGAGACCCAGGGGCAGTGAGTCGATTTCAAGTTAAGGGCAGAAGAGCCCCTGGGGACATTGTCTTACAAGACTAGTTCCAAACGGTCGCAGTCGTTCTGGTATCTGATTGGTGCCAGAAAATCTTTGTGTTTTTCTGCCCAATCAGAGGGAAGTGTCGTTTGGAGTCCTTTCGTGTGTTTTAACACGCACATATTCATCAAGCTCTGTTGCTCACTATGTTTGTATCGGCCGTGCGACGAAGCTTTGCGCGAGGTGAAAAGTTTCAGTCTCAGCAAAACAATGTGAGAGAAATCGATCAGATTGTCCGCGAAATCTTACCGGAAATTATACTGAATACTTTCGCAGGTATCACAAGAGAACGAGTTTAAAAGTTTGCGAGGTTCGTATAAAACATAATGGTTGCAAGCATTGATTTGTCGCTTTAAACGTTAGATGAGATGTAAGCCTAAATCTTTCAAGATTTTTTTGTTTCATTTGCTGTCACTGAAACTTTTCCAATCCCGTGAAGCTATTTCGTCGCACGGGCCACGCAGGTATGTCGAGCAACTGGCGCTTACGCATTTTTTTGTGCACGCCCGGCAAAAATCTAATCTAATCTTCGCTTGAAAAATTAAAAAGAAAAGCTAAACGTGGAAACTTTTGTTTATTAGACGTGGGTAGATAACCCTGTACTAAGCTGACATTTGCAATAAAGCAAGCTCGCCCTTTCCATCCAATATTTCTTTGTCTTTGGTTTTGTTTTCCCCAATGAAAGCAGAATCGATTCCCAATGATCAAAGGTAATTAACTTGGTCTTCAACAATCGACAAAAGAGGTGAAGTGACAATGACCAAGGGACTAGAAGAGAATCCGTGGCCTTTCGAGCTCAAGAATTTGAACACTCAACGCAGCAGTTGAAAGATTAACTTTCTTCAAACCCCTTCGGTAACTGTCCGAAAACATATCTCCTTTCCACGATGTTCTCGATGATTAGTTTTTGTTCAGATTTTAATTAGCTAACCGGAAACACAGCTAAGCTTTCTTTAAGCGCTTGCTGGTGGTCGTCCATGTACTGAACGTTCTCTGCAAGTTTGGCCATATTTTAAAGACTTTACTACAAAGCAACGATTAGAATTTGGCGCGCACAGAAAGCTAAGTAAGCGTAAGCGCCAGTTGCTTGACATACCTGCGTGGCCCGTGCGACGAAATAACTTCACGGGATTGGAAAAGTTTCAATCACAACAAATTGTACAAAAAATCTAAAAATAGCTTACATCTCATCTAACGTTTAAAGCGACATATCAATGCCTGCAACCATTATGTTTTATACGAACCTCGCAAACTTTTAAACACGTTCTCTTGTGATACCTGCGAAAGTATTCAGTATAATTTCCGGTAAGATTTCGCGGACAATCTGATCGATTTCTCTTACATTGTGTGTTGAGACTGAAACTTTTCACCTCGCGCAAAGCTTCGTCGCACGGCCGATACAAACATAGCGTGCAACAGAGTTTGTTGTATATGTGCGTGTTAAAACACACGAAAGGACTCCAAACGACACTTCCCTCTGATTGGGCAGAAAAACACAAAGATTTTCTGGCACCAATCAGATGCCAGAACGACTGCGACCGTTTGGAACTAGTCTTGTAAGACAATCTCCCCAGGGGCTCTTCTGCCCTTAACTTGAAATCGACTCACTGCCCCTGTGTCTCCGAGGATGGGCAAAGCGCTGACTCCCGCAAGACGCTCTTACTCGCGCTTAGTCCTAAAAATTGGCAAGTTAAACATGATGATCAGTTCCTAAAACCAAATCGCCTTTGTACCTACGGAACTATCTTGTTATTACTAGAAAGTTATAAAAAATCATTCCAGGAATAAATTCCTTCGAACGGAGAGTATATTTTACATCAGTAATTGCGTGACAGTGGGACACGCGACAACCTGTTGAACTCCTAATTACCTTGTTGCTTAGCAACAGCGTCTAAGGTCAGCTGGAGGCCACAGACATTCAGAAACAATCATAAAATGGTGGAAGAGACGAGCGTCTTGTCTTGGAGAGGTTCCGACAAATACTACAACCCGTACATTGGCCGTGGCGAGGTACTTTTCACAGGTAAAATCACTCAAAGTTATGACTACAAGTGATTCAACGGATTCTTCAGCCGTACAGGGTGTCTCTTACAGCCACACGTGTTTACTTTACTTACCAAACGCATACTTTCCTTTATCTTCGAATTAAGTCAAGCTCACAAAGCCTTGGCAGTTAAACCCTGTAAAGGTTTTGAAGTGTAAAGATAGGAGAGAAATATAGATGCAGCTGCAGATGGTGGAGATAAACTGATCGACCTAACGAAGGAATGTGGACTGACCGGTGTCCCATTCCAAAAATAGCACTCCAGAATTCTTCTCTCCTCTCGTAAATTTACCTAGTTTAGTGATGTTACGATGCATTTTCAGTGGTGTCTTTGCACTACTTGCATCCGATATCTCGTATGTTGTGTTCTTTGTTTCATAAGGGGCCGTGTTAAAATGTTCTAAATAATTTATGTTTGACTCATGGTAACCTTTCTGCGCGGCTGGATTCATCATACATCTGTTGGATTTTTTAGTCATCAAGACCAAATTATGTTCCACTGCCATGGTGAAGTAACTGAAATTTTTTGTCTTTATTCGAAAGGTCCTGATGGCATCAGAGACCACGACACAACAGTCCTCGATCCCAATACTTATGTGGGAATAGGAACGATGTCTCCCGAGGGAACTAGTGATCTGAACTATCTATGGAGACCCTCCAAGGTAAAGGGTTACAACCTTCATCTAACGGTTTGGGTGGATAAATTAGCGAAAAAAGAATTCTGATTAATATCTGCTGTTTCAGAAACTATTCAATACAAATTCCATAGGGTTGGGGGAGAGGACAATAGGCCACCCTGTGGGAGGTTGGGAAAATATTAACTGCATCAATAATTAATATCCTATTTTGTCACCAATTTGTGATTTTTGACATTTCCTTTGAGAAATGGAGGGAGGAGGTGTTTCCAAGGTACACTGATTAGAAAGGGGAAAGTTATTTGTTGAAATTATCTGTAATTTAAATTTAATAGTCCCTTTCTAATAATTGCCATGTTGTTTCACTGTAGGGCTGTACCCATCCTCTGCCCAAGTCTGCTAAGGTAACTCAGTTTAGTGTGAAACAAGTATATATGGAAAATATAGTACTGAAGTAAGAAACAGAAATTTTGGTACCATAGATATAGCAATTTCAACATCACTTGAACCAAATTATCCCTAATGTCAGGATTTGTACAATCTCAAGGGTACTACCAAATGTGGCTTACACCAGCACCTTCCCCCATAATTTGCAGGATTCTTCTTCTCTGTAATGTAGTGAAAGATGCACAATCCCTTATGCATATTGATGTATCAAGGGTTTAGAAATGATAGTTTATTATCCTTGCAATCTTTGAAAAAAAAAGTCACTTAATATATCTATCTAGCCTACTTAGTCATAACAGGTTTCTTTATTTTCTTGTAAGGTTGGAGAAATTGGGTGGGGTCTACAGTTTTACAAAGACCGTCACCATTTGAGAAGTGGTCACCAAATCAAGGTAATGAAACTTTCTCACATCCAAATGAACTTGCTTTTATGAAATTTTATTCAGACAACATCTATGCATTCATTTTTTAGTATCCTTTCCCTGCACTGTCACATATTTCTCAATTAAGACTAACTCTTTAACCTTTTCTCCTTTGCATTTATTTGACAGCATGGTGAATTTAGACAAGCTACAGAGGACAGACATACTCACCTTTATCAAAATCCTTGGTACATTTTGTGATCAATAGTATACACAGCACGTTCAAACATCATTCATGACTTAATCAAAATTCCACATCTTTTAAATTCCATATTTAATTTAACTGCAACTTATCAATAAATTATATCTGTTCTGTTGTGAGTCACACATTTTATTAAGTACTATGAAATGTTTGTAGGTATGCAGGACCAAATGATAAACAACCAGATGAAGCTGGTCAAGGTTAGTCTTAATAATGTTGGTGACTGATGGTCATTATAAAATAGATAGTTAATTTCAAGTATCTTTGGATAAAAATAATAACTTTACAATACTGGTAACTGATATTACACAGATAATCAGGTTCCGCTGTGCAGTCGGAGTGAACGGCACATGACACCTGTTGGCAGATACAGTTCAAGGTCCTTCAGGTCCCTTACACCAACTCCTCAGAGATTTCGACTCTCTGAGGCCCAGAGACAAACAACACCTAGGTCCCATTCAGCAGGTCCTAGAACTCGGTCTGGTACTTTGTCCAGTTCCACGTCGTAAGTTTTGTTTCACATTTCATTATTGATGGCCATGGATGAGTCAGGGAGAGAAGATTAATCATGGCACCAGACAGAAGAGAGCTAGAGAAAGTGCCCACATTGTTGTCATAAGATTGTGATGACTTGTTTACCAACAATTTTACATGGACTTTTAGGAAGATAGTTATCAATTTCCAAGCTATGGTGGCAGCTTGCACAATCCTTTAATGTCTCATTTTTCTTAGTCACTGCAAGTAATGTTTTATCACAAACTGCCATGTGGCACACAAGCAGAGATGCCAGATAATACTGCACCATAGATATCTTACATAACACACGACACTATAGATCAGCTAGTCTTATATTTTTAAATAAAGTTCATGCTACAAATGTACATCTGCCAGTGTATGACCAACCCCAGTCCAAAGTTAATGGTCATTCATTTTAATATTTTGAGATATGAACATAGTAAATTATGGCCTAATGCACTTCAACAGAGCCCTCTGCACCTCAGTGGTAGGGCATCAGAGCATGGAAAGTGACAGCCTGGGGTTCAATTCAACATGAGGACTCAGAACTTTTGTTTGAACACCACCCATGACAAGACAAAAACCATACTTCTTTGATTTATTTTAACTTCAGGCACTCTTACTGTAGATGATTGACTTGTCAGTAGCTTCGGTTAGTTTCAAAAGTTAAGGAAGTGAGAAGAGTTATGAGTCAGTAATGTAAAGAGCTTATAATTTGCAAATGGGTTGCTTACAATTGTTTAACTCAGGCAACAAGACGTGTAGTATCTGAGAAATTATACAACCAAGCCCCCTCTTCCCCTAGCTTTTGAGTTGTCAGTGAATCAAAGCCTCAGTACCTTTTTAAAGGGGGTCTCAAAGTATTGGCAATACTTTAATTTTACTGTTTTCAGGCTTTATTTGGAAGAAATGCAACATCCAGTTGAAGGAGGACTGTCAAACCTTAAATACAAAGACAGAGTCTAGAATTAAAAGAATTTTCTCTTTTTGTGGCAGACTTCAAAGCTAGATGGCAGAGAAAGACCTCTAAAGACAGCAAAAAAGAGAGAGAGAAAGAAGGAAAACATGTCAGGATGTTTGGAAATATAGGCATCAAAAAGCAACAGTGTGACTGTTTTTGAGCATTGCATTTCTTTTTCTTGAGACAAATTGTGTATGTCCTAGTGCAATCTTGTGTTGTCAACACATGCACAAAGACAAATTCAAGAAAAAAAGATTTGACAGTTCAAAATGAAGAAATTGATTTTGAGCTGTAAGAGGATGTTTGATATTTTATAAATTTGGATAAAAATAACAAAGTGAAATATTTAACAATTAATTTATTTTGCATTTGAACCTTCTGATTAATAAAACAACTGAAAAAATTTGTCAGAAAGGCAAGTGGACTCTCTCTGTTCTTATGTTTCCATTCTCACGCAAGTTTTGTTTTGGGTTGTCATTTTTAAAATCATGGTTACTGCAGAGGTGCACTTCAGAAAATGAGAAGATTTGAAGCAGATAGGTTAGATTTCTAGCCAGAAGGCCATTCCTTCCAAATTTCCATCCCATATTTCAATGGCAAGAAGTGACAGAGTATTGCAACTTTCCTCTGGGCAGGACACCAGTCTATCACAGGGTTACAGGGAGTAAGTTTCTAAAAGAAACTGTAATTCTATGTGGGTGGGAGTAACATGGTAATTTTTGTTTTATCAACTGAGTTGATAAAGTATATTGGCCATCGTAAAGAGTTTCAAGGCTGACATTTCAAGCAATAGCCTTTCGTCAGAGCCAAGGGTTAACACTCAAAACATCAGTTTGAAACTGTTAATGGTGGCCAATTTACTTTATCAACTCAGTTGATAAAACCAAAATTACATCACAGGATAACCCCTGCATTCCATCAGGTTTCCCTAACAGTTAGTAGATAAATATTTTTCTACTTGAGAGGAGAAAAGCACTGAGAATTCTTGTCCACAAAAACAACACAATAACCTACATGAATTTTACTCCAGAGTACCAACAAGGCCAATACATCTCCTTCAATTAAAACAACCTTTCATTCCTCCAAGGTTGCCAACAATAATAATAATGCTGACAACAACAATCCATCAACATTATAAAATTAATTTGTTTGATATTTCATTGATTTGGATGAAAATAATACCAACATCCTGGTGTTAAACATTTCCTGCTGAATATCTGTGATGAATCTCTTTGGTTGAAAAAGAGAGAAAAAATCTGCGAGCAGTGCAGACTTGAAAACTCACCATGTCACACCCTCGAAAAAACTAGACAGATTAATGGTAATTACCTCAGATATTTTGTCTCTTTAGTGTAAAGAAACAAAACTGGACACTAGAAGCAAGGCCAAAAACAACTGAAGTTTACTTAACTCCAACAGTAAATCAACATTGCTGTCCTACGATTAGACTACAGGTAACAAAAGGCAATCATCAAACACAGAGGTCTACTGCAATACCCATGTATTTTTTCTTTTATTAACTCAATCACCTGCTCCTTTAGTAGCTCAGTTTGTTTACAAGTGACCATGGAATAGCTTTGCTATAATTTATGTACAATGGATTATGGACAAAGAGAAAGGAACCTTACAAAAATTCAAAGTTCAATGAACCACTCACAAATAGAATGTAACCACGCTTATCTACCACATAGAAGAATGGCTGAAGTTACTACTTAAAGACCCCTGTTATAAGACGAAAAAAAAACTATAAAAGTATATATAGAAACCTACAAGGCACTAAAAAATGTTAACAAAGCCTCCTCTTGAATTAAAGTTTAAATAAGGATAAAGACTGCACAAAATTATATTTTCAAAACACTGATACTGTGTGGAGACAAACCATGCCAAAAACCTAAACATACATTGCACAGCAATTCCATTGCCTAGGATTATTAATCGGTAGGCTACCAATATTTTTCAGACAAAGTAACTAATAATAGCAGTTGCCATGCATGGTACCAAAAGTAAACAAAACAAGAAACTTCAATATCCCAGTGACTTTCACATCTACATGATGCATACCATCAAGGCATTAATTTTTAGTTGACTTGGAACATATTTACAAAATATATTTATCTGACTTGTAATCGTACATAACTGCTTTTGAGGAAACTGTCAGATTTTGGGGAGCTTGGGTGCTGCTATAACAGGATTGTTCTGTTCAATTATCTTTCTTCCTTCACTTTTGTAGTCATATGTACAGCTGTGAGCTTCTGCATAGCGGTGTGTTGCACAAAATGAGTTTCCACATCTGTGGCAAAAAAAAAAAACAACACAGACTAAGCATTACACCACAAACATTAATTTTAAGGATAATGAGACAAACAAGATAATGGTGATAATAACAACTATTAAAAACTAGATCATTGGATAATGCAACTCAAGACTTTTTATTGGCTTAGCCATTATGGTATATCAGCCAACATACCATAATCTACAAATATGGAAAGCGTACATGTCAGCTTAAAATTAAAAGGGAGCTAAAAATTTAACAAAGTTTAATAGCTTAATTTAACATTTTTAATAAAACAATTATTCCACTTGCTATTGTTGGATATGAGATGATTATAGCCAACTCAGCGCTATGCGCCTTGTTGGCTGTCTTTCATCTCATATCCAACGCGCGCTCGTAGAATAATTGTTAATTATAATGGTGACAATAATGCTAAAGGAAATGACAATAATAATGATAATGAAAATTATAGGTAGCCAACATCCCAGTTAACCTTATATACCTGCATTGGTATGTTGTGGCTAATCCTGTTTTTTTCCCACACAAAAAACATCTAGTCTTCTTTTTGACTGCAGGCAAAAGTTGTGGTGGTGGATGTGGTTTTGTTTTTACAGGAGGAAGATGATGTGAGTGTGAAGGAGAATCTAAAATAGAACAGAAAATGCCATCAGTTTTATTAGCATATTCCAAGTATTGCAATCTTATATTATTACTAACACGACTTGGGCAGTCAGAGGGCCAATAACTAAAATCAACCAATCAAAATGCTCTGATGCCGGTCCAACATTTTCTAAGTATTGGACCGGGCACTATCTCAAATGGTCCCGAATGATACCGCACTTGTGTCACTTTGAACTTCTGTCATATAATAAATCTCTTATTAGGTAACCAAGCTTGCTCAGGACCGTAGTGGAAGAATATCGGCCCTCGGCCTTTTTTGTACAGACCTTGGGCCGATATTCTCCCAGTACGGCCCTCGTGCTTGGTTTATAAGATATATATATATATATATATATTTTAAAGCAACAAATTACAAAATCGAAAAGTGGTACTTAAAAAAATACAAAACATGACCACGTACTATTTGATGCACTTCCATGAGAAATTCGATATGAATATGACAGGGAATCATTCTGTAAATGCAAATATGAATACAGTTAGTACATCAGTAGTCAACTAAAATCTCTCTCAGTACTAATTTGATACTTTTTCCCCCTTTGAGAATGGAGATCAAAAAGCAAGTTTGCTCGACTTGAATAAATTCAAGACCCAAAAAGGTTCACTTTTTTAATTCAGTGATGATCTCAGTAAGAGCAAAAAAAAAAATAGTTCTCAGGAAAAATTTTCAAACACTGACCAATAATGTTTAACTAGGATGCTTGTGCTGCTTCCTTCATAAAACATTAACATTGTAAATACAACACTGAACCACATTTGATCATAATTATGTAAATGAAATTTGCGCACTACAAATATTAAACTATTATTACAACAGTGATAAAACTAAAAGTGAATTTACAACAGGAGTAGCAGAATAACCTAAATCTATGATCCATACTTACCAAAAGTCCAGATCTTCTTCCTTCTGGAGTTGGAACTCGATTTTCCATCCCACGAAGCCGTCTGAATCCACCACTTCCTGTTGACATATCTAAAGGATACCTAACACTGGAAGAATCCTCAGGAATTCTTGATCGTCGTAAACTAGCACTTCCAGATGCATAATCTAAGCTAGTTGCCCCATGTGATGGGCTTGAAGTCCTTGTTTCTTTGTGATGACTAACAGGTTTTGATATACTTCCCAGGGGTTTAATTTCTTTAGAGTCTTTCACTATCTCTGATATTGCCTTTCTTCCTTCTTTAATTGCACTCCTTGAAAGTGCTCGACTTGAAGGAACAATTTTTGTATCTTGGCTAGGTTGTACTAAGAAGTCTGATACATCAATTTGACTTGTTTTTCTTCTTGTATTGACAGGTGGCAAAGGCCCTTTAGGCATGACCCTGCTTGTTGCACTTGATTGTTTTGAAGGTGAACCTTGAACTGCTCCAGCCTTAGGTTGATGTCTAGTTGCTGACTGATGGTCAACAACTCGGAATGCTGTCTCATGAGTTTTTGTTGTAGCTGAAGCAGAGGTTAATTGCAACCTAGAAAAAAATTAAAGAAATTACACCACAACAGACAACAAGCAATGTCTCTGATACAAATGCCTTGTAAGGAACAATACTTGAGGTTATGCATAGAGCTGTCCTGTTGGACTTGAAAAACTGCAGGGAAGGAAAAGGAAGGGGGTAGACAGAAGGGGGATGAGGGTGAAAAACAGTGCACTTTCTCTCTCCCCCTCCCCCCACCACTCCTTCTTTCTATATTCCATTTGTCATCATCTACATTCATATTTCATTCTCTCTTGACCACCTCTCTTGCACACAAGAAGTATTAAATAATTTCTCATGAAAAAAAAAAATCATTTGCACTGTGGATTAATTATGTCATAATGTTCCACTTTAGTGATTCTATCTCTGCACGAGGCAAAAAATCATTACTAACAATTGACTTTACCTTCTTCTTGCACTTAGAATAGATGTACTAGTAGGTTTTTCAGTAGGTGGTGGTGCTGGTTGATATTTAGGCTGAAATTAAATCAAAACAGAACATGTATTTCCCAGAATTTGCAACACAAAACTATTACCATACTTATATCCTTTCTCAAACACTGCTGGTAGCCATGTCAAGCTGACCGCTGCGACCTGACCTTTACTGCAAATTCAAAGCTAATACAAGTAGCATAGTTTTTTACACCAAGACCGGAAATAACAGAAAAAGTTCCAGGCTAGTACATTATACTGGTATTGTAAAAACATTTAAATCTTTGGGTGGGTGGGGGGAAAGTCGGCAATGGTAGATGCAACAAAAACAACTGCCCGCCCCATAGGTCACATGACCTATACCCAGGCCCCAGCGGCATGTTAGAAAAACATTTTTCACTTATTTCGTTCGACTCAGCCAGTGTTAAAATCACTCTCATCACTTAAAAATTAAATGAACATCTAATTGAAGAAGGTTGTAAAAGCTTTCTCTGTTAATAACACAAATTGGGCAGCATAGACCAATACCTAAAAAAAACATATAATTCAACAGAAATAAGTAACATAAAATAACCTCAGACATTCTGACAAGTTCATATTAAGATTCTTCAATTATATTCTGGTTGTAAGAGAACTGTATTTATTGTTTACAGTTTCCACATTATGGCATCTATTCATGTTTGTATTCCTAAAACATAATTACTGCAGGTTACCCTCAATGTATAGTTTATTTTTTTACCTTCATGTTTTTCTGTGATTCCATTTTATTCTTAAGAACTCTCATTTTGTTCATAGTGACACTGTTTTCCTTAATGGCTTCCTGAAATTAAATTATTAAAACTGATCACTTCACCTGCACTGAAATGACATTTAAAGATACAGTATACAGTGCAAATACCTTCACACCAGACTCAAACATATTATGTACTTTTGGAATAAGTTTTTCTATTTCAGACCAGTATGTGAGTTTAAAACAAAATGGAATACAACTTGATGGCACTGTATAATTTCAAGTTAAAATGGTTTCTGACTAGTTTGAATTCATTTGAACCTTATTAACTCAGTTTAAACTGCAACAAATGCAATAATTCATAAAATGTCAAGCTAATGGAGCACAGGCATTAAATTAAATCCAATCACTAATTACAGCTACCTTATGTTGAAATTCACAAAACAGCAAATTTTGATGTAACAAACCTGTGATATTGGAGGTTGATTATCCTCTTCCTCTTCGTCATACAAATTGTACATTGAAGCACCACTACATTTTTTATGAAAAGAACCATTGCTTAATACAAAATACTGTAAATCAATATTCAAAAATTCGAACCAACTGTAGAAATCACAGAAAAAATATTATCTTTACAGCAACTTTGAGCACAAATCAAGTAAACAAAGCAAAAAAAAAACCTCAGCTAAAATCATCACAGAAATAATGGCCTAAAGTTGTCCATATTTACAGATAATTCAATCAATGGGGAAAGGGAGTAAGTTACTTTACTGTGGTGCTGCGTCAATGGGATAACAAGGTAATTTGCTCTGATGAAGGGCTAATGCTCGAAATATCAGCTTTTAAACTCTTTGTGTCGGCCAATTTTACATCATTGACTCATTTGATAAAACCAATACCTTGTATCGCTGTGGGTTTAGCATATACTCCCAACTTGTTTTAGTGTCTAAGCTCTTTTTTCATTCTGTGTTAAATTAATTTTCCTGTAATACAGGGTTTTCTAGATTTCTTTCTAAACATCCACTGCCTGCACAAACACAACTTTCCAAATTGCATCCTGAAGGTTAACAGTAACCTTATGTGGACGTCAAATCTGTTATGCAAATCATTGACAGGGTCCTTACCATTACCAGTTAAAATACAAATTTATGTACACATGTGTAAATACCTTAATGAGTCTGAAAGAGGGGTTAGTGTTCCATCACCTCTGTCCACCACTCGGAAAAAATTCAACTGGTCTCCATCCCTAAAAAATATTGTAACGTCAATATCAAATTAAGACTGAAAATAAGTGAAGATTATAGTGATGTAGGAGAAATAAAAGACCTTTAATGGCTTCAGAATTGAATTTTTTTCACAGGAGCATTGATAGTGATCCACCACAAGGAAATATTAAACTGCAGGAGCAGAGCACATTCTGGGAAAGTTCTTATCTATCACATGTATATAATTATGTAATGTCAAAAGACACTCCCCTAGCTCCACTAAATCTTGTTTTGATCACAGCCTTAGAAATGAAGCAGACAAACTAAACAATGGTAATAATAATAATAATAATAATAATTATAATTATAATAATAACAATAATAATAACAATAATAATAATAATAAAATGATCAAAGGGAAAGAGAAGACCCCCATCACTAATAGTGAGCTACATTTCTAATAATTTTAATGCTTGCATTTGTCTGCCGACTGAGTAAAAATTGTTTCCAGTGTTAATGGTGATAGGCAGGCCAATTTATATGAACAAAATTAGGCTCATCATAGTCTAAGAGGTTTATAGAGTTACCTAAAAACAAGTAAAGTCACTTGGCGGTTATCTTTGGGTAGTTTATCCCATATTTCATCCCTGCAAAAAGGAACAAATCTACATGTGAATAATAGTCTCACTCAAAAGAGGAATAAACAAATAATTGATAAATTACTTTTTTACTGTTTAATCAAAAGTGTAGGTTCATTATAGTTCCATAACATTACCATGACTACAAGCATCTATTTAAAATAAACTTGCTTATGAAATATCATGCAAGAACTAAAGTCTAAAGGAGGACAAAATTTCACCTGTTTACTTCCATGTATTCAGCCATTTCTCGTATAGTAGGATCTTCAACAGGAACTTAAGAGAACAAATCAAAGAAGGTCATAACTTAGTAAAAAGCCATATTTATTTAACCCCTCACTGATCTGCTCAAATGTGGTTGAAAATACAAATTAATGGTCTTACCATTATTCTCTCTCTCATTAACAATAGAGAGTTTTCATTACAAAAACTTGCGGTTACATTAGCCCATACTAAAAACAGCAGTAACTGTGGACAAGTGCCTGAAGTAGTAAGACAGCCCTGAGTGAAGGTTTGACAACAGTGCTCTTGTGAAATGTCAACCACCATTGTACTTAAAAAAAGTCTACTTGTACATGATGTAATTTAGATTTAGATTGACTCACTTCTTCTGGTATTGATAGGGCCACCTCTCATCGCTAGCACCAGTTGTAACGTTGCTCCATCTGCAATACTAAATTGATGAGGAGAAATAAAAAAAATGAGCCAAATATAATTCATTTTTCTTTAAATTGTTAAAAATTATTCTTTAATGAGAAATCGCTTAATCTATAAACACTTTTACTTGAAAACAATCCTAGTTTTACAACAAATTTGCACAAAACAGGAAATCCTTGTTAAAATAATGCATCAGTTATTATTTTTAAATGAAGGTATAAACATAAAAAAGAGCCGTTGAGCTAGAGTTCAATTAAAGGGACTTCAACAATTTGAAGTGAATTGGTGATTGCACAATTCATGTAATTCGTAAAGAGAGAGAAATTACACATATTTATACCAAAAACTCTCAATCTGGCCTTGGTAACGTGTCACTGTTTTTCAAAATTCATATTAAAAATAACAAACCACCTTTATGGGCAACAAATCAAGAATAAAAAAGTTTTCTTCTAGTTTCAGCATTTGTCCAAATATGCACCAACTTTTTGTTGGGGCATGATAACCATGTGTTCCTTCTTACTGAAGCCATGCCCTGTTAGCTGGGGTTACCCCTTGGATGGGTATCCACACAATTTCGTTACATGTTGTTGACCTTTTTTTTCTCTATTTTTCAATTTCATTCCTGTACTTTGAAGAGTCAGCATTAAGTTTATTGTTTTTAAACTTAAAACCTGAGTGACTGTACATGTAGATAAGGACCAACAAATCCCTCGTTAATGCCTCCAGGCATCTTGTTTATATCTGGTTGAGGGGACATGATGCAGTCATAGGGTTTGCCATCCAAATCAACTTAAAAATTTTTTGATCAAGAACCTGATTACCACAAAAAATTATTCAACCAAATAGTATAACATTATCACTTTTTTAGTTCAAAGCTTACACTTTTCACATACTTACTTATAATCATGGAGACAATAATCATCTTCTAACTCAACAGATCTCCATATCAAATGCTGCTGAGACATTGGAATGCCTACAGTTTTAACAACAGTCACATTTTAGACTTTTGACAAATAAACAATCAAATATGTCAATAATAATAACTATGGTATGTCTTTAATAGAAATCAGTTGGTAAATCAGGTAGTTTTCATATGTGTTACAGGCTTGTTTGCAACAATGATATAGGTGCTATAATCACAGGTATAATCAAGTCCTAAACCACTCTTTGAGTTTGCAGGGAAATTGTTTTTATATCAACTATCCTGTATTCCTGGTTCAGTTGACAGTTTAACCTGTGAAGAACCAGCTTTAGACTAACCCATTGAAATCCATTATTCCATCAAGGAGACAACACAATTCATCAATCAAGTGAATTAATCAAGGTAATTACAAGTACACTGACAAAGAATGTTAGTGACAATAACTATGTCAAACTTCAAACATGTAAACCTATGGTCACAATTTATTGTCAACCAATGAGTTTCTTTTATAATTCTTGCTTCTTGTTTTTTTTCTACATACCAGAAAATACAATTACACGATGCCTTCTGGTTACAAGTATTACTCGATCTAAACATTATAATGCAAAAAGAAAAAGGAAATTATAACGAGCTACAGCTGCAGATATTCTACATCATGATTTCGCTATGCTTTATCAGTAGCTGGCTCAAATCTATTACAACAGTAAAGGCTGATAGTTTTTAAAGAAACTGGGGCTGCATCGGTGGGGGTAACAAAATAATTTGAATTTAGTACACGACTCGGGCAGTCAGAAGGCCAAGAAACTAAAATCAACCAATCAAAATGCTCTATTGCCGGTCCAATATTCTCTAAGTATTGGACCGGGCACTGTCTCGAATGGTCCCGAATGATACCGCACTTGTGTCCCTTTGAACTTCAGTCATATAGTAAATCTCTTATTAACCAAGCTTGCTCGGGACCGTACTGGAAGAATATCAGCCCTCGGTCTTTTTGTACAGACCTCGCTGCGCTCGGTTCGTACTGTCAAGACCTCAGGCCGATATTCTCCCAGTACGGCCCTCGCGCCTGGTTAATAAGATATATATATCAACAAAGTTCAAATTTTACCATTCCAACTTTGTTGATATATTCAAATTATTGCAACAGTATCTCACTTCCCCCTTGACATACTTCATGAGAGTCAAAATATTTGGGAAAAATAATGAGCAGGACACAAAAATAAAATTTACAATTACATATCTGATAACAGAAATTTTAGTTAGAAAACCATGCAAAAGCTAAAAATACACAAAGGAAAGTTTACAAGTTATACTCAGAGTCTATCTGATGACAAAACAATTGTTGTCAAAGGTAAATTTAGCTCTCAGTTTTCAAAGCCTTTATTTTCTCCTGGGTATAAATCAATTGGTCACAGGTCAAATTTGTCAGCTGCAAGCATGTCAAAGCTTTCATATGTAGAGTGTTAAAACTCCATGAATAACTAGGAATTGAAATAACTTGATTTAGCAACTGACCACAAAGGAAGTCTAATCTTAAGATAAACATATGATGGAACTGCATTCAAGGTAAAAATTTCAGTTTCGTCTGGATGGCGAAGTTTCTCAGTTTGGGAACAAAGATCAGTAATGTTCTTGGTTACATGACTTAACAGAGGACATTGTCAAACAACTAGTGATGATTATTGGCATCCCAAAAGTCACTGATCAGATAAACCTTATCAACGAGCAACTGTCAAGTCTGAACATTTGCGGCATCCGAGTCCAAGTTCATATCCAGAAAGACACATGTATATGTGCGTGACAATCTTACTCGACATAATATCGAACAATCACATGCTTCGATAAATGTAGGACCATAAAAACGTGAAGAAAAATAAACAGCACAGTGATATGCTTTTTGTAAACATCCCCACAACCCTAGAAGATCTCAACATACCACAACGGATCCGCATAATAATTACAAAAACGATAACATCGCGTTTTAACGAAAGGCCGATAACGTGAAAATATTCAAGTGTTTTCTTTTAAGGTGTTAAACTTGCCCACAGATGTTGGAAGAAAGAGTTTTCAGGCGGTGACAAGACGTTAAAGTTCTTCCTAATAAGAGTTATTTTAACCTAAGAAGACTGATGCCAAGGGAAAAAATCAAGAAATGATGTTGAGTAACATACCATCAAAACGCCATCGAAGAGATAATTTCCCAGACTATTCAAAATAAAACGGGTCCAATATAATCAACAACTCGCGTTGGTTTGTGATCCTTCGTAACCCATTGGAAATACATCCATTTCAGAATTACGACGAGAAAATAACTTCCAAATGTACTAGTTTATCCACTTGGCCAGTGTTTACAAATGGTGCAAAACCACACATTTTAAATTATTTATGTCGGATGTGAGGGCAAACCTTCGAAAACACGTTCATCAGGTACACGGGTTTTACATGTTGAAAGGAAACTTCAAACCTACCGATCTTTTAATTTCCTTATGATAAAATAAACTAGTTTTGTTCTCGATGGTTCGCTGTTGTTCCCACACAATTATTCATCAGCTCAGAATAATATGAGAGTACTTGCGTTTACACTCACCTTCTAGACGTTGAATCTTAGCTTTTACGCTCATGATGGTTTCAAAAGGACTAACTCGTAACTCGAAGGCTGTTCCAGTTAACGTCTCAATAAACAGGTCCATCTATGGACCTTTTCAACGAAGCTTTCACACCGAAAGTTAGCAATTAAAATCCTTTGCGACCAAGAATACCTCAAACCACGTCTTGGAGCCTGTCGACTGCAAGTTAACTCTTGTAGCCATAATTAAATAATGCTGTATTCCATGGCCATAAAAATCAATTTAACATATTCCTTCGAGGATCACCGACCAGATCCAACAGTTATTTTGGAAATGGTGGAAGTATTTCACCTCGGAATAAACATTTCAACGCGTGTCGGATGCGCTACTAATTTGTTCCCAGGGTACCCGGATGAAGAGCAGTTGTCATGGAAATTCGCGCAAAACTTATTTTCGCGTGTGAACAATGAGTAACAAACGCAAAATGACTTCACCAATCACAACAGCAAATTAGTTGGCGTATTTAATTGGTCCTTGAGCCCATCTACGTATGTTTTAACCAAAACAGAAATTTTCAAAAGAAATAATACAGTCGACTCCCGATAATTCGAACCTTCAAGGGAAATTGAAAAAGGTTCGAGTTATCGGGAGTTGAGAAAAAATGACCAGAAATAAGGGAAAAAAGGTGTTAAATGTTTTTCTTTGTATGCAGTGTACATTTTAATCAAATTTGATTACAGTAAAGAGAAGCCGAGTGAAAAAAGAGAAAATACGACTCTAAATTACTGTATAAATCGAAACGCACCGTAAGGTGAAAAATATAACAAAGGAATGCAGCGGGCAGAGGTCCAGTAACTGCGAACCGTACAGGATTTTTTTTAAGAGAACAATGTCGGGCTACTGGTACAAATAACCTCATGCGATTTTAAAAGGAGTTAGGAAGCAACACTTTTTGAAAACCAGCGGAACTTGAACTGAACTGACACGTTTTGTGTAATGTAAAAGAAAGGAAACAGTTCACGCGGCTGCTTCAAAATAAATTTAAGGTTTTGGACAACAGTGTTTTGACTTGTCACGCATTGACGGACATGGTTCGAGTTATCGAGGGTAAAATTATATAGAAAATGACCTGAAGGGAAACGAAAATTGGTTCGAGTTAGCGGAAGTTTCGAGTTATCGAGGGTTCGAGTTACCGAGGGTAAAATTACAGTGAATGTGTGACGGAAATCCATGGGAAATCGATTTTGGTTCGAGTTAGCGCGAGGTTCGAGTTAGCGAGGGTTCGAGTTATCGGGAGTCGACTGTAGTTTGATGTCTAAGAACGACGGCGATTATTACGTACGTCTTAACAAAAACTTATTTAAAAAAAAACAGAAAATTTTCAAAAGAAATAATAGTTTGATGCCGAAGAACGACGGCGATTATTGAAAGCAGTCTAGTATTCGCCTTCGCATGTTTGTACTCCTTAGCTGCCAAAAAAATAAATCAATAACTAAATCGGGAAACATACATCGTTAAGCAGAGTTTTGCAATATTTATACCGTTTCATAGTCATTTTTTTCCAATGCAATAAAAAATAAGAAAATGTTCGCCAGGCTTGTAAATCAAATCGTAGGTGGGATGTTACCTTCCTTCGGCCGGCTTATACATAGATCCAAAAATTCTGTAATACTGGGAATGATCATCAGAAAATTGATGATGACAAAGAAAAGGTATAAAACCGTAGGAAATTTTTCTACGCGGCTTTTGAGCTTCGCTGCTCGAAAAGGATCGTAGCTGATTGCAAGATCTTATTTTTTATTCCTGACTCTGTTCAAGTATCCCATACCTGGCCATTTTCGCTGCCCCTTGCTTTATTTTTCGCAGTCTTTTAATTCTTTTTTCCGGCGAAAAAGAGCTGTTAGGACCGGTGCTTTAGATCGAGAGATCGCAATGGAACTAGGCTCACTGTGTTGTGGCTAGGGGAGACTCTCAATCCCTAGACTCTCTCTCCACCTCTGCATGGGCAGCAGAGATTAGCCAAAGAAACGAAATTCCATGAGGTAATACGGGCCATTATTAACCAACAGTGAACGTTAAACCATTCAGGGGGAGTATCAAATCTGCTAGTAGTTTCTTGGGACATTTATTCTAATATTTTTTAAGGTTCAAGAAAGTATAACCAGGAGTGATACAACCAGTGGCGGATCTAGGGGAGAGCACAAGGGGTCCAGGACTCCCCTTATTTTGGGTTAAAAACAAAAAACAAATCAAAACAAACGAAGAAGGAGGAAAAGCCGGCAGGAGGACACACACAAACGAAAATGCTCCCCCCCCCCCCTTTAGTTCAAGGTCTGGATCCGCTACTGATAAACCAACTCTCGAGTAGAAATTATTGTTATTTTGCGTGATTGCCGTCTTCTGATAGCGAAAGGATCCTCTCTTGACTTGTTGAATTTGATGATGACAGTGTACGACATTCTGCCATCTGATCGGGGCCTAACTTCCTCCCCTCCCCTCCCTCCTTCCTTGAAGAAGTGGGAGTTCTTAATTTAGCCAACACGAGTAGGTGCTGCCGAGCAGAATGTGGTTTTCGGAGAGAGGCTATATGAGGTCTATCATGACCAGTGTAGAAGGATGTCTTATTCTGAACAAGATAGCGCGATACACAAACCTTAAAGTTCCTAAAGTGCCCCCTCCCTTGCCCCCCCCACACTCAAAGTGGGATTAGGGTTAGAGAGGCTATATGAGGTCTATCATGACCAGTGCAGAAGGATGTCTTATTCTGAAGAAGATAGCGCGATACACAAACCTAAAAGTTCCTAAAGTGCCCCCTCCCTTGCCCCCCCACACTCAAAGTGGGATTACCGGGTGTGTTTTTTTCGAACCCAGACTACGTGCACAGCACTCTTCGATAACTTAGCTTTGAAAATCACTGGCAATTCCGTTAATTTATTCGCCACATGAAGATACAAAACAATCATGAATCTATTTAACGAGTATGGAAAAAACTTGACTTTCTCCAATGGGGAAAGCTGAAGCTGAATTAAATTGAACAATTGCAAGACAGTTCAATTTTCTTTATTTTTATTATTAACAAAAAAAATTAGAAATCACCCTTCTTTAGCAATTCTTGACGAACGCATTTAATAAAAAATCTCCAAACAAAAACTATACTATTGATGGTAAGATCTTATCTTCAAGATGATCTTATAAGAACTTTTATTACACGACTCGGGCAGTCAGAGGGCCAATAACTAAAATTAACCAATCAAAATGCTCTATTGCCGGTCCAATATTCTCTAAGTATTGGACCGGGCACTGTCCCGAATGGTCCCGAATGATACCGCACTTGTGTCCCTCTGAACTTCAGTCTTATAATAAATCTCTTATTAACCAAGCCTGCTCGGGACCGTACTGGAAGAATAACAGCCCTCGGTCTTTTTTGTACGGACCTCGCCGCGCTCGGTCCGCACTGTCAAGACCTCAGGCCAATATTCTCCCAGTGCGGCCCTCGCGCTTGGTTAATAAGATATATGTACTTCCCACCCATTGTAACGTGTAGGTTCTTTATCCACTGTAGAGTCTCTTTCCTGTTTATTGCGATTTTTGTTTACAATCATGGCATGTTGTTGGTATATATCATCATTAAAGTGATGATGAGAGAATACAATGCAAATGGTGTCGGTTTGAAGCACACACATATACCTACAACAACCTTATGGCGACAGTCCAGCGCAACGAGATAAATGGCACAGCTTTTTGAAACATGGTTGATAAAAAACACAACGATATGATGATAATAATAACAACAATAATGATAATAATAATGATGATGATGATAATAATGATAAAAAGGGATTAATGTCAGTGTCCGATCAAATATGCACCGTTAACAAGTCAGGGTTATAGTAAGAAAAAAATTGTAGCATGAAAATGGGGAAAATCTTGACTAACTCTGAAATATTTATGAACACGAGTAGGCTTCAGTGACCAGATCAGTCTGATCGTGGCGTGAACAGCGGGTGTACACTTCTCTTTTTATATATATTCTTTTCTGGCTAATCAAGGTAGAAATCAGTGAAGTGATAGGACATGTTCAGAATACTCTTGTACACCCAAAGCTGCGAATACACTCTTGAATGAAGTTTTACAAATTAGTGGAAAAACAAAACACAATGAAATCGAAATCACACTGCCAACAAAACGATAAAGACACGTCCTTCCCTTTCATCATTAAACTATACCATATAATCTAAAAGTGTAAAAATCAACTCTCAGCCTAAAAAAAGGTTCATAAAAAATTCAGAAAATTTAGCCTTGGCAAGAAACATGTACCTTAAAAAAAAGTGTATATTCCTTCTTAAGACGTAACTTTCAAAGAAACTGGACGTGGGTCTCATGTTTAAGGGGATTGTCTTCCTCTTTCGTTTTCTCTTGAACATCAGGAGATTTTGCTTCTCTCCACGATTTTACAATCTTTTCAATTGCGCCAGGAGTCCATGAGTGTGAGAGAGGTGAGGATTCTATCTTGCTAAATAATTTTGATCGTGATAATTTTCTTGTTCGTGGTGAAGCCAAAGAGGACTGTCTAATGGTTTTGCCAGTGTCTGTTACCTCAATCTGTATCCCTGGCAAAGATGGATTAGATTCTAAAATTGTCTTGTTCGGTTTATCAGAGATCGAATCCAATGGTGGCGACGCAATTCGCCGTCTGTTCGACTTTCCCGAATCTGAATCAGACGCTCTTCCATCCGATTCGTCTTGACTTGGATACGCTGTGCGTCTTCTCCTAGATCTTCCAGCCTCCGAACTTGAGTCTTCGTTGTTTCCTTCGATTCCCGAGGATGTCATTCCTCGTCGGTTGCTTGACTTTGTCGAGTCCGATTCGTATTCTCTTCCATCCGAGTCCTCGTGACCTCTTTCGACACTTGAATGTGAGTCGGATCTTTCGAACGAAGGTCTCGATTTGTCTGAAAGAGAAACGGACAATTAATACGCCCTTGAGGTACGACCTTGGCATGACATCATTTATAAAGACTATGTCACGCAAGCATATTTGTGCTTGTGTAATGAACGCCATCATAGTTTGAACGCCATAAAATCTTGCCCTAAGGACCACAAATTTTATGGTAGTCAACATACACAAGCTTAGAATCAAAAATGGTAAGAACGTGGAAATATGACACCAAAGAGCTCAACATTAAACCCTTTTGGAAATGACATGCGAAGCAAAGATATAGCCCCCTGATAAGTGATCTTCTGTGACAAGTATGATGATGTACAAGGCACTTTCGTGACGATTGAAATTGGTGATACAATTCTTACGAAGCTGCTTCACTGCATGAAAGTAAAAAAAAAAAAAAACAATTCCTGATGGAAAAGACTGCACGACCCTCAAGTGAAAGAGAGCTACTCGTGCAAGTGAGAGGTGTACAGTGACTGATGTAAAGTGCAGTGAAGAGCACCTTTCGGCAGCTGCTCTGTGCTGGCGTGAGGTGATAGGACAGGTGGTGAATATAACGAGATAAGACCTTTCTGTGCCATGATGATGTTCTGCTCCGCTTTCTGGATATGTTTGCTCAGCTGAACATGACTCTGAAAACAGGACGCAATACAACAATACAACATGATCAATGACGAATGTGGTATGGTATGCTTGATGATGGCGAGTAGTCATGACAACAACTTCGGTATAGTGCTGGAAAGAGTAACTCTTCCCTACTCGTTTCCAGTCGTCGCCACAAAGCCCACGGGCTAGGAGGTCGGTGGGGAGAAGAGGGTGATGGGATAGGGAGAAGATAAACTTCTGAGAAATCCTTTTTAAAACAATGGCGGACAAATTCATTGCTAACGGTAGCAAAGTGGTTTCGCCCTGGCGCTTTTTTCCTACCTATTGTACCATGCATCCCACGGTGCTAATATCATTATCATTACTGTAATAATTATCAGGATGCAGCATGCAAAATCAATCTCTACAAGAGAGATATTTCACAACCATCTATCCGCTATCTACAAAAGACATCTCAGTTTTATTTGGTTGATCAAACCGTAACCAAGCGACACGCTAGACAAAAAAAATTATCAAAAAAATTGATCTCAAGATGGACAATTTAATTCTGGTTACCAACCTTTGACGACTCTCCCAGATGTCTCACAAAAGCATCCCTGAGGCGATTCCTAATAAAGATAAAGAGAGGACTGCATTACAACTTCGAAAACCCTTGAGCACGTCTAAGGAACCCCTTAAAACCAATGTAAACCATTTCCTAACGCTAGGAACCCCTTAAAAACCAATAACAACCAATGGAAACCACTTCATATTGCGAGTAACCCCTTTAAAAACCAATAGAAACTATTTCATAACGGCAGGAACCCAGTTGAAATGATTTGATTCCCTTTGATCAACGAGGAAATCATTAAGAACTCTTCAAAAAGATCACGAATCGCACACCAAGAGTCACGCAACATTCGTTAAACGATTTCGCCGTTTTCTCGGATCTAGTCTTCGATCCTTCCAAGAAGTTAGATTCGGGTAATCGAGCCTAGTAAACCAAAAATAAAACAGTCACCTGGCCCGTGAAAAACCGAAAATTACTTTCGTCATGACGACCCACTGAGGAAGCAGCAGAAACAACTAAACGTCTTTTTACCAAGACTACTGAACGGTCTAACGAGGTAAATAAGAAATATTGAAAATCTGCAGTCATATTAACCAACCTGATGTCTGATTTGATAGCTTCCTTTTTGTTTTGAAGGTTTGGAACCTGTTAATCAATTATACATGGGTATAATATTCAGTTATTATTAGACGATATCAAATTGAAATCAGGGACTATCATTCCATTGTTTTTGCTACAATTCTCTGATATGACTTTGAAAGAAGGAAAAAGAGCAAAATAACAGTCGGTCCCGCCCTTTCCTACAAATGCTGTCTACGCCTTTGTCCCACCCTCCCCTCCCCCCACCCTGCAATGATAGCAGGGTGAATGAATTACAGGAGGACACTTACCGATCCCAGGGGGACAGGACCAGGGCTGGTCGACCGATATCTAAGTTCTGTGATCTTCTGTTGCTGTTGCTGTATCTGATCTGTGAGTGACTTGACTTGACTCTTGAAGTATGCTATCTCGTCTCGATTGTCTTGGGCTTCCTAACGGATGCACGATAACATAATGTGTAAAGGCCTACCGAGTTGTTGTTTAAGTCTCCCGAATTTGTCGCTAATTGAAAAAAAATCCTAAAAAATCTACAGAGTACATTTATTCTAGAGAAGAAAGAGTAAACCCACAGTACAAAGCTTGATAAGGTTGGTGAACAGCAAACTTGTAAAACTTCACGCATAAGTTCTCGAGACGTAAAAGCAGGGTAATCGCTCCTTAAATAACCTTTAGAAAATCTTCAAAACGGTTTATCGTGTAAGCCGAGTTCACTTCTATAAATCAAGTCCATCTAGAGGCTGAATAACAATCAATAGAAGAATAATTGCTCTGACATTTTCTTTCCGTATTCTTACCAGTTGTTTTTGAAGCATTCTGATCGTGTGATTCTTGCTGTCGAGTTCATGTTCGAGTTCTTCTCTTTCAATCATAAGCGACGTTCTCTCCTACAAAAGGAAAAAAAAAAAAAAAGTCTTTTTATAGGATTAAACAATTACTGGTGAACCAGTAGTTTCCATTGTGGTCCTTGCAAACAAATGAAACAAATGGTCTAAATTGAACATAACATCATTAAGAACATCATTAAGAACCCCAACCGGCCGGAGGCAAACCAGTTGGCTATATTACAAGCGTGGCCAAGGATCTTAACACGGGGCTACCGTGAAACAAATCTAGTGGTCAGGGTGGGACTCGAACCCGGGAGCGGCGGATTACGAGTCCGACACTCTAACCACTCGGCCACACCGCCTCCCACGAAGAAGAAGGATACGTTAGCCGATCTCTTTTAATTTCCCTTCAAAATAGACTAATCTTCCCTCTACCATCCAAGCAGAATTGACCAATTTTGCAAAAGGGGACAAGGAAGCTACTGCATATTACAAAGAAAACTACGGTGGAGACTTGATTAACAACACTGTAAGTAGAGAAAAGACAGACAAGCTAAGCAGGAAAGGATACTAAGTTCAAGAATCATTGAACTTTATTAACTGGAATCCAGTGATGCCAACCTATTTACTATCTATTCAACATCACTGAATAGATTGCGCTGGGGTTAAAATCAAAAGTGTAATTTGAGCCGATTAGCCATTTCCAATACCACTCATACTTGAATGTTAACGTTAATAACATGTGAACAACTTCTTAACGTAATTTCTTCTAACCTGAGTAAGATCAAGAAGTTTGTTTTTCACTTCTCCTAGTTCGTCACGAAGTTTCTTCACTTCCTCGACACTAGCCCCAGTTGACGCAGCTTCTGGCTTGACATCAGGGATTGCCGCCACTTCCTTGGTCTGCACTGAACTACTGAATACCGGTAAGTGTGAAATCTCTGTGACATCGTCCACACTATCTTTTCCATCCATTGAAGACATGGAGGAACCTCTTGTTCTGGTGGTCTGAATCCTCTCTTGCATGGCTGCAGGATCCATGGTCATGGTTCTGTTCAACATCCTCTGTGTATATGTACGAGATCAGTTATTTTGAACCTGCACAAAGAGTGATACCGCATCTCCCATATCTTTTATCGTATTATTTCAACTGCTGCGATGAAAAATCGTTGAAATAGCTTCTCGTTTTTTATTATCCGACTTTGAATTGTTCTAAAAAAAAGTATGAATGGAACATGTGACTTTGCAATCTCAGTGTAATGCTCTTACTAAGCTGTAAGGCATCGCAACAAGATATCAACTTCACAAGTTCGTTTGATTCGTTTTAACAGCCCTGACGTTTCTTAGCCTTCTTAACCCTTCCATGCCCAGTAACGACCAAAGTGGAATTTCTCCCAGAAATATAAGTGCAAGAAACGTCCATTTTACCCCGGACATTACACACAAACCTCAATTTGTGATACATACCTTTCTATGTGAAGCAGTTTCTCTCTCCATTGCTGGATCAGAGTCAACAGATGCAGATGCCCTCCTTGCCAAACAGGAGTGCGAATGCATCAGTGGAGAAACGACATCAGCCTACAAGAACAAAACCTGTCGTGTTAGCCACACCATGGAGGAGGTGTGGTCAAGTGATTTAGGGAAATGCACATGATATCTGGAAGTTCTAGGCTAAAATCCACCTTCTCTGCTCCTCAGATGGACTTATATTTCAGTGGCTCCACATTTCAAAATCTGCTCTGCATTATGTAATTAACTTACTGGTTAACAAACTGCAACCAGGAACAAAAGCAGTACTCCTGACATTTCCATGTATGTCAGCTCGGCAGAATTGGATTTGTCTATGTATTGCACATTCTCAAATGGTTACCAAAGAAATAAGACTGTCGCATTCAACACCATCACTTTTCATTATGTTTTAGAATCAAAGCAATACTTACCTCTTGAAGTTCACGTTTCAGTTTAAGCAATTGAGTCTTTAGAGATTTAATATCAGTGAACAGTTGCATGAACCCGACTTCGTCCATTTCAACAATGTCACCTTCTCCTTCTTGAGCAGCCATTTGTTTTGGAGGACGAAAAGACACTAGTGTTGTCCTTCTTCGTACTAAACCTGGTCTTTTACCACCTTTACTTCTTGGTATTGCTGAGTCATCTGAAGACACCTTGCCCTTAAGTAAAGGAAAGGGTGGTTTTGCAGCACTGTTAGATCGTTCTTTTGATTCTGTCTTGGACTGATCACCTTCCTGATTTTTGGTAAAAGTTAATTTAAAACTTGGTGATGGTTCCTCTAAAACATTTGATACATCACCATGTGAGTTAACATCACTTTTTGTCAAAAGTACTTCAGCTAAAGAAACATCACCCATTCCAGTTGACACACCCTGAATTAAAGAATCCAGCCTTTCTTGAAGATAACTAGAGTCCCTGTGTTCCAAAGGAGGTGTAGGCCTTTCATTTCTCACTTCCTTATCCACAGAATTTTTCCTGGTACGATCTGCATCTTCAGTTACTGTTAATTCATCAGCATCAAAGTCTGTACCAGATCCATTTCCTGAGCTAAGTCTTTTAAACGCTTCATTTTCATCACTTAAACTTATTGATGTTGACATAGATGAGCTGTAACCTGATTCGCTCTCACTATCATGCTTAAATGTTTCTTGAGCATTACCAAGTATTAGAACATTAGAAGTATCCAAAGATATTTCTCCATTGTTATTCATTTCTTGATGAGAGCTATGATAACCCTGAGTTCTTTTTCGGGTAAAACTCTTTTGTTTAGATACATAGGATTTATTCTCCCTGCTTCGTCTTGAATATGGAGTTTTGAATCGTGTTTGTTCATTGCTTGGAAATTCTACTTGGGATGATTGCTTTAAAGTTTCTTCTGTCAGTATTTCCAAAGAATCTAAGTCCACTTCATTCATTTCATCATACTTTGAAGGTGATACTTTATCAGCAATCTCTGACAAATTGTGTGATAAGAAATTAAGTTGTGACTCTGAGAGATCAACGTGTTTTTCTTCATTGGCACCGCCCTTCTGCGGTGGAAGTGAACTACTCAAATCAGCTTTAACACTATTCACAGATGGCAAGGACATGCTGGAGTCTGATTTGCTCCTGTGAAGAAGAAATAAGTAAGTCAAATATCTCTATTATGAATGACTNACAACCTTCCCAAACAAGTGAAAATGTGTGAAATGCAGACTTTCGTGTTCTCGATTTGACGTCACATTACCCGCTAGAGCCATTCCTCTTTAAACTTGGTCGTGGGGCAAGATGGCGGCCGATTTTCCGTATTTTGACTAGGCACAGAAAATTAAAGATTTGAGCAAATTAAAAAATTTTTGCACAGAAATACTCCAAAAAATAAGCTTATTTCGTTAAGCCAAAAAAAAATTTTTGGGTTTAAGTGCACTTCAATAACCCTCCACATTCTAACATCAGTATCTATATTCTCCATATTATTCTTTACACGTTTCTTAAGGTGGTGACAAGGAGAATTTCTTTAACAATCAAATGCTTGTTTGGTTTGTGATCATTTCCTTTATCCTTTTGACCTTGATTCAGGTGTAATATTGTAAAGGGAAAATTATTAGATGGTAATCTTTCTTAGGGGCCAAAGGGTTTACTTAATATATTTTACTCACTGAGTATCAACATCATCAAGTGCAGTTGAGGTCTGTGGGGTGGTTTCCATGTGAGACTTGGGAGTTTCTGTTTGTAAGACAACATACTTCATAGTGAGTAAGAGGATAACTGAGGATTACAAAATAAAAGCACTAAATGAAAAAAAAAATTAAAGATAATAAATTACAAGATCAGATAAACTATCTATCTAAGTATCTATCTATTGTCTCCTATCATCTATAATAATTATAATTATTATTATCTGTCATTAGTAAAGATGGTTTTAGAATGAGAAAGACACTGGAAGAGTGGACTATACCAAACTGATTCCCAATTCAGACAATAATTCATGTCCACTACTTGGACGATGTAACATTGTTTTTTAATTCATTTGCATTTTTATTATTTCATAATTTCACACATTTTTTTTCAAAATGTTTCTCTGCTTCTTGTCATTCATATTTTACCTGTCGAAGACTGCAGTTCAGGAAGTTGAAAGCTTGTAATTTTTTATTCATTTTAGCCAGAGATTGTTCTTTTTATCATGTTTTATCCTGGCTGCAGTCCTTCAGTATTTACATAATATTAACTGCCACACAATCAATCAATTTATCAATCAAACAACAGTTTAAGTTGATCGATAGTTAAAAATTTTAAATGATACAACTAAGTTAGTTAGCCTGATGTTATAACCAAATCCAACTATTAATTAGTAGTAACTGTATCAAATTTACAAATAAAATCTATAAATAATTCAATCCTGATTCAATTTGATAAAAATATTTTTTGATCCCAGCTTACCAGGTTGGGATGATGACCTGTTGTTGGCAAAACCAAAAGAGCAAAGGAATCCTGGTGTATTAAGCTCTGAGGGTGATAACGGCAAACTCTGTGAAGGAGTCAATAATACACTCTTGTACCCTCCTTTTGGCATGAATTCAGTTTGAGGAGCCTTCTGGGAACCAGTTGAAGGCTCTGAGTTTGTCCTCTTGAACATTATAACCTAATAAATGAAATGAAAAAAAATTTGGTTTGGATATATATATAATTTTATCACTCTCCTAAAAAACAAGGGACCTCAAGCTGCTTGAGGAATCTCATGTCTCTGAAAATGTAATTTTTTGTTTCTTTTTTTCATGCTCCATTTGATTCCAAGCAAGAAAGGAGGTACAATAAATGATACTAACATTGTCCATTAAGTGAGGCATGGAAATATTTGGTTACAGGGGGTTTTGACTATAAAATTAATGTCACTAGCAACCTTCCTCAATTCCAAAGGAAAATTAATCTCAACAACTGTACATCAGCAACTGCCAAATGTGAAAGCCTCCCTAAAGAAGACAAATGATACATTGCTACAGGAAAAAGAGCCAGTTTCCTGTGACAACAATATGATTTAACATCAGAAGACTTCAGAAGGTGCTTGCTAAACCTCCAACACACCTCACTCAACTGAGAATTATAGTAAGAAAATAAGAAGCTCACCAATGGGCTTCCCAACTGTGTAAACAATATTAAAAACTTAAGGCTTTCTGATAATTTTCTTGTCCATATATACAGCAGGCATAAGTTCCCTCTCAAGCCAAGGTTCACACTTTGAAGCACGTTGGGCTGAGAAACCTGCTGGCCCTATGTATAGTTAAGGGTTTGGAAGTGAAATCAATTTTATGGTAAATTTTGTTGTTCACATCTGCAGTTGTTCACTGTTATCAGTGAAAAAGGGTTGCAATTCCTGCAGCTAATCTGCCATTTGGAATTCTTTGGCAGCTTGTTGTCAAAACCAGAAACCAGAAACTAAGGGTTTTGGAAATTTGGTAAAAAACAAAAACTTCCCTAATACGCCTACTAAGCACTATACAATCCTCAACTTTTGAACAAATGACATTGCCTTACACATTTTCCTGACATGTTTCTTGACAAATTGATGTCATTAGGTCGATCGTATGACTAATATTGGCAACATTATTCGTTGAAACCAAACCTCCAGATTACCTTATCATAGTAATTTGGTTATATCAACCAAGTTGAAATTGTAAATTGGCCACCCTAAGGAATAAATAGGCTGACGTTTCGCGTGTTAGCCCTTTGCTCGAAACGTAAGCTTTTTTATTCGTTATGGTGGCCAATTTACAATCTCAACTTAATTGATATAACCAAATTACCTTGTTGCCCCCACCAACACAGCACCACAGTTTCTTTAGGAACTTTCAGCCTTGATTCATTTACCTTACCATAGTCGCGGACACGAAACTCCGCTTAGAAAGCCGCAAAATTAGATTAATTAATCCTTCCAAAAACAACTCTTTAGTGGATTTACCTACTATCCACCATTTCATAAGCGCATCAACCGATGACCTTCGAAAGACATCTAAAACCTATCACAGCCGCAGGATGATATATGATCCGGATATAGCCCAAGGTTGACGACATGTTTTGACCGATCAGTGTAATTTAGCAGCTGGAAGAACAATTTGGCCACGATTAATAATTAAAAGGGCATTTAGCACCTTCGTTAAATTGGAGTTAGGAAAGCGGATAAAAAGCCAAGAAAAATTCTAGAGATCCATTTCTTAACAGGTGTTGACCAGTGTTTAAAAAATTACATTCAACCAACCAAACAAAACACTTGCGATATCTGCGATCTGATTCTCTCTAATCAAATATCAAAAGGATTTTCTGATGTTGAACAATATCTTAAACGAGATTTTACATGCATGGCAAGTATCTAGCAAGGAATAATTTACAAAAGCAAGCTTATGTTCCCTTACAATTGTTTATTAAGTTACTGTAGCATGTTTCTTGTCGCATGCGTTGAGTTGATTTCGGCAGGTTACGGACAAGAAGGATAAATACAATGGATAAAGGCACAAGAACTCACTTTAACACCATATAAAAACAGCTTGTCTGATCTTCAGTCCTTATCTGGGCTTCTCATCAGCATTTGCTTCAAACAGAAGACCAAATTCTTCATCTTTCTAGAGTGTGTACACTGGAGTTCCTTGAATACCAAGGTTGCTTCAAATATTGTTAGAGTCCAGACCCTCACCGGGAACACAGATGAAACCACACAAATCCTCAGCGTAATTTCTGCTAACTTTTTGTCAACAATTCGCAAGGATATTTACCTCAAAGAAGTATCAAATTGATTCCAAAGTACATGAACGGAGACATATTACGATTAATGGACCAGCGGAAAATCAATCATCTCGACAAAGGTTCAATTTTGCATAACAAATGCTTCGCCTAATTTGCCTTGCAAACAGCATCGTTCTCTTAAAGTTAAGCGAAAGACAAAAGGGGATAAAGAAATCAGATTACTTGAAGAGAATTAAGCACGATTAACAAATAAATCCGACAAGGAATTCTTTTTAGCATGCTTATGTCGTTGTTGCCTGTGTTATAATTTTGTTTTTCCTCCCATAAAAGTTCTTTGCGTCATTTTTTGTAAACTGAGACTTCGAACTAGCTTATCCGAAATTATTATTTCCCACCGTCCCACCAAAAGTTCATTAGATTCGAGACATAGAATCAGAAAAAAACATGGCACACTTGTAGGTCGTTCCGGATTGAAAACCACACCATGATCAAAATCACGTCTTAACTGAAGAGTAACAAATGAATTCAAAAATTCTCATTTTTATCCAGCTCAAACTTCCGTGAAATCATACGGCTGTCTTTGCAGAAAAAATCCTAAATTTCTATTGATACTTAGAAATCTCGACTGAACCGCCTGTACTGGCACTAATCACGCGCGCGTTATTTCGTCGGTTCATAGCACGTTTTGCGACAGCTGAAGGCAAGGGTTTTTTTAAAGAAACACTTGAAAAAGCCTTGATAGGTAGAAAGTCTTAAGACTCATGGAACAATTTGTTGTATAACCTGTGGAACAATCGACTCAAAACGCTCCTCGAGTCGTTGACTTCAAGAGGGGTATCGAATGGTTCCATTCAATTTAAAAGTGCTCGCAAACATTACACGGATGCTCGCTTGCTCGTGCTCGCAAAACTTTTGTAACTGCTCGCCTGCTCGCATTCTCGTTAATATGTGCTCGATTGCTCGAAATTTCGTGAATCCTACTTTGCAGTTATTTTTTATACATATGTAAACGATAATCAGTTATGATATAGTTAAAACAAAAAGGTTGAAACATCCTTATCTCTACCCTCAGTCTTTCTTCAACAGTCTGTAGCTGTTTTAGAGGCGCTTTATGTATTATCAGGAAAACGCACGAAGGTCCATGACAAGCAGTTCGTTAATTGGTTTATTCTTTATCCGCATATTTCATGGTCACAAGCTTTCTGCTTGAGAGGGGTACAGTTTATGTCTCCGATCTTACATCCGACAAATTTGGCTTTTTCTCGCTATAGGCTACTGCCTCGCTAGGGCTCGCCAGCAACAAGTATCTGACTACAAAACGAAGACCTTCACCAAAAACGCTTTACTTGACGCTAAAACATTGAAATCGATGGGGTCTTCGTTTTGTAGTTTTACTCGACTCAAACTACAAAACGAAGATCCCCACTAAAACGCTTTATTTGACGCTAAAATATTGAATTCGACGGTGTCTTCGTTTTGTAGTTTTACCCGCCTCAAACTATAAAACGAAGACCCTCGCCAAAAACGCTTTACTTGACGCTAAAACATTGAAATCGGTGGATTCTTCGTTTTGTAGTTTTAGTCGACTCACCCTCGCTAACACGCTTTATTTGATGCTAAAACATTGAAATCGATGGGGTCTTCGTTTTGTAGTTTTACCCGCCTCAAGCTACGAAACGATGACCCTCGCAAAAAACGCTTTACTTGACACCAAAACATTGAAATCGATTGGGTCTCCGTTTTGTAGTTTTACTCGACTCAAACTACAAAACGAAGACCCTCGCCAAAAACGCTTTACTTGACGCTAAAACAATGAAATTGATGGGGTCCTCGCTTTGTAGTTTTACCCGCCCCAAACTACAAAACGAAGACCCTCGCTAAAAACGCTTTACCTGACGCTAAAACATTGAAATCGGTGGGGTATTCGTTTTGTAGTTTTACCCGCCTAAAACTACAAAACGAAGACCCTCTCTAAAATGCCGGTGTCCATTTTGTAGAAATTGCCGCCTCAAACTACTAAATGAATACGAAACAACTAGTTTCAGTTAAGGGCTCTTGCATAGACCCGAAGGTTGACATTAAAAAATTCTAATCTGGTTGTTGTTTTACCGTAAAATCTCTTTTAAACTCCACCTCGCTGTTAACTCCCCCCCCTCTCTAATAAGCCCCCTGTTTGGAAGTCGTATTTTTTGTAATAAGACCCTCCTTTCTATTAAGCCCCCTCCCCCCCCCCCCCCCACCTCGTTTGGGGACATGAGATTTTGTAATTAGTCCATCTTATTCCCAAATACAAAATCCACTTCATGCAGCCCAGTTGATTTGTTTTGAAACAAATGTACATTCCAGTACATAATAATGTTAGTTGCTACATATTAAATAATTCGTTCCATTTAATGTTTCCCCGCAGTTGTTTGAGTTTACACAAAACGATTTTAAGACGGAAACGATGTTTTAAGATTTGAAATAAGCGCCCCCTCTCTGTAGTCGAGTTTGAGGCGGGTAAAACTCGGTAACGAAGACCCCGTCGATTTCATTGTATCAGCGTCAAGTAAAGCGTTTTTGGCGAGGGTCTTTGTTTTGTAGTTTGAGTCGAGTAAAACTACAAAACGAAGACCCCGTCGATTTCAATGTTTTAGCGTCAAGTAAAGCGTTTTCAGCGAGGGTCTCCGTTTCGTAGTTTGAGGAGGGTAAAACTACAAAACGAAGATCCCATCGATTTCGATGTTTTAACGTCAAATAAAGCGTTTTAACGGGGGTCTTCGTTTTATAGTTTTAGGGGGGTAAAACTACAAAACGAAGACCTAATCGATTCCATTGTTTTGGCGTCGAAAAAAGCGTTTCAGCACATTTCCAAGTCTTCGGTTTTCGGTCTTCGATCTTCGATCTGCGGTCTTCAGTCTTCGGTCTTCGGTCTTCGTTTTGTAGACACCCGTTTTCCGGGGTGCTTGTGATGACATCACGTAAAATACATATGGAAAGATCGATTAATTCCGAGCAATGCCCGTTGAGGTAAATAACTCGACCACTGAGTTACATTTGATCGTTGAGGCGAAAGAAAAGCTTGCAATCATAGATTCAAAGTGTGGATCGCTTATATTGAAGCCAACCATTCAACAAAATGTGGGTCGCTTGTTAAAACATTAGACTTTGGTCAGTCCTTTTTCGAAGCGAAGACTTCGAAAAAGGACTTTTTTATAGTTTTTCCTTGGAGGTTTTCTTTTTAAAGCCGAGCTCCTTTCTTCTGACAACACGTGAATAAACGCGTATCTGGTCTACTTCAGTTGTGATGACACTTTTCTGCACCAGTGCGACCTTTGACTCATTTTGATGTGAGTTTTGCTTTTCGGTTGCGGTTTTAAATTTTCTGTGGTGTTTTGGGCGGCAAAGATAAAAACTTTGCTTAAGTACGACCTATGCCTACGTCTCCATGTCGCGCGAAAACACCGCGAAATGTAAGAATTCATCTCGAAAGGCACCTGCAAAGGTAGAAAGTAATCTAGAGAAATACTACTATTACCAGTACTATTTGATCTTCAGAGCTACTATCAGAGCTTGTCAGATCAGTACGGCTGTAATTGGTTAGATTCGAGAAGCCTCCAAATAAATAAAACTTCATTGCGTTGAATTTTTCTCAGTCAATCAGCGGGTAAACAGTTTGCCGATCATCGAAACCGAAGCCCGAAATGTTTGTTAGACCAAATGTCACATTATTTACATTTCATAAGAACTATAGAACCAAAAAAACATACCTTTCATTTAATTTTAGCGTAGGGTTAGAAAGAGATGGAAAACTTTAGATCGCGGGCTTTGGATCAAGTACATCTCGTTGAGAACTCTGACTGACTCATGTGAAGCTACGTGACGTAGTTTGGCATCAAGCAGGGCACAATTGGCTGTAAGATGCTAAGGCTAGTTGCACCGCCCCAGCTTTGCAACTTTTGTTCTGTTTTAGAGGTGTCAGCCAGATTATTAGCTATTACATGGCGTAAAACAACGTATCCTATTAATAAGAGAGAGATTCCCAAGTGTTCGCTACTCGCCATCTGTATTTTTCCAAAGTGCTCGCTGC